TTTTTTAAGGTTACAAAAGTAATAATTACTTTTTTTCGCACAGTTCGAATGATTATTGTTTTACTGTGAAGATCTTTGCTCGCAAATTGAAACTGTGTTGTTGTACTTTGATTTGGACCGTCTGGTCATGAACTTTTTTCTTTTTTTGGTTATTCGAGGGCGACATAATTTATATATTCCGTTAGGAGAACTATTGTTGGTTGTCAAGGTTATTATCAATACAATGATGATCGTTTGAAGAAGTGATATCTGGTCGTTTTTTTCTTTTAGTTCAGCTTGGTTTAGTCGGGTAGGCGTTGCAAACGCATAAGTTTGTCGTAATCAATAAAAATCTGTCCGGACTTTTCATTTTCAATCTAAACGGTTTGATTCGTTTCTAATGTTACATCGTATGTTTGAGCATAAGTGGATATTTCTTCTGTACCGATTAATTCAAAAAGTGAACTTAAGTGGCAACGGTTTTTCTTTCTGAAGTTGTTGTTTTTCCCTTCGATGTCTATCAAACAGTGAACCACATACCGGTTATGGTTATAAATCCACCTGTTCTGGTCGAACTTTAATAATTTTTTTAGCTTAATTATTTATTTTTAACCGTTTTTTTCTTTGAAAATTTTTGTACTTTACGCAAACGTGAGTGCTTTTTCATATTTTTATGAAGATATTTTTTACAAATGTCTTCTCTACTAATAGGCAAGTTTTATCTGTTGTCTAGGAATAGTAACAAGTGGCATTCACTGTTGGGGGAGATATTACTGGATTTGAGGAACTGCAGTTGTCTAAATATCCGTTCGTTGTTGTTGGGTGTTGATATTTTACTGCTTACTGCAACAGCTGCAGTTTTTGTGAATATTAGATGAATATTTATTTGTACATCGCCATGTTGCCGTTAAAAAAAAATAAAGGAGAAAATTGGTTTTTTTTCCATTATTCCAAGCAAATAGCTGTAGAGTGCCGTTCGTTGTTTACTTACCACCAACGGACTGCGCAACTTATGCTCAGAAGTTTATAGAAAGTGATTCATGCGGAGTTTGTCGTTTTTATCGCTGCTTTAGTAAAAGTCTGACTGTTGTCATCGTCTATTCCATCGATCTGCAGTCTTGCTGTTTCTAGTTAACCAGGTTCCAACGTGTTCTCTATTCTCTGAACATACCGAACATGTTCTTTTTGCTCAATCATTTGTTGCTTTTGGTTCTGTTTTTCATCAGTTAATCTGTAGCCAAAAATTAACAGTTTGGCAGCATTTTTTCATTATGCGAAATATTGATGATGTAAGTTAAAAAATTTTTGTTTATTTCAAAGTAATTATTCTTTGTTTTGGCTGGCGGCCCGTCTGATTCGTTCCTGTTTTTGGCGTGAATTTAACGCGCAGTTGCTCTCATGATATGTATTTTTAGCAATAAATGCAATTATTACAGTTCATCTAATTGATTGAAAATGAAAAAACTGTGCATCAAAGGTTGAGATTAATGGAATTATTAGTTATAGAAAAAGAAAGAAACAATTTTAGAAAAACAGCTTTTATTTTTTTATTATAAATTTGATTTTAAATTTGTATAATGTTAATATGGTGGCAATTGGTTCCATTAGAAGATTGTTACGAAAATTTCGTTTACTTTTTTTCTTGTTTCTTTGCTTACCACCAGTTTTTTCTTTCTTCACTCTCCTCGGATCGTAGCTTGTTAATATTGCTATGTAGTATGTAATATAATTTGTAATACTATAAATAAATAACTACAAATGTACGGTGGAAGTGCAAATCATATATGTATATATATAAGTAATGGACATTATTTTCGTAGAAAAAAGACTGATGGGAGCAATTGAAAATGTTATTTTTGTTTTTTTTTCTCTTTATCTTTTACTTAAACGTGTTGAATAACAGTGTGCTTACTAAGTACCTGATGAAAGCACAGACAGCTACGTATGTTTTTTATGTAGTCTTGTAAGTCATATGGATTTTGTCACTTCCTATTAAGAAGGAGGTCAAGAAAAGCTGCAAAAATAATTCTGCTTTTTGTGCTTTGTTAGTTCCAGTTTGGTTGGTTTGGGGTTAGACTGCATTGTTTACTTCTGAATGAATCATTAATATGTTTTTCATTTTTTTTTTTTTTTTTTTTT